AACTGCAATATTTATTAATAGGTGGGTACTAACATTATAGGTTATTGTAATGAATAGTGTTCAACGTCATTAATGTTGAATGGGAAAACAGTTTTCGGTTATGTAAATGGACTTTGGTTAGATAGCCATTGCAAGTCAGAAAGCACTAGACAAAGGTTACATGTTAGTATAGGACTCCTAAGAGGTGTCAGCTCATAATATGAAAAGAGATAGATCTCACATCTAACATGCTGTGACTACTGTGGAGTCTCACACTAAAATGAAATATCCGTCCAATTCTTCCTGGTTTTCAGTGTTATAAAACCACAAAATTCAACAACTTCCACATCTTCCTATACCAGAAAACATTTTGTAGATGCTTCTCAGTAATGAACATTCCGAGATTATATTACCTAAATATTTAACCTTCTGTTGGACATTTTCACGTATTTAATTAGAAAAAACTGGTTTAATCGAATAAGCTGACCCAACTCGTTCAAATGATGATGTGTGAATAAAACTACTACAGAAATATTCTAAAAATCGTCCAAAATTTCAAATCATTGAGGATAAAACATATTGACGAGTGTTGTTAGTTAGGAAACCATTTCAGAACAATGGATATTGGTTGAACAGTTTTTAAGTTATAGTTGGTGACTTTTCGGGAGTCTGAATTCATAATTCCATGAAGAAATAAAGTTGAAATCTTTGATTCTATCAGAAAACATGGTGACATTGAGCAAGTGATTCTGTGCACTGCAGCTCACAATTTTAACTTTAATTAATCCACGAAAAAACATGACGATCAATGAATATTATTAATGACTAGCGGTCTTACTCATGATACGATTCTTCAACTTTTTTCAGTCATCATAAATCATCTACGTGAATATAAATTATTAACATTTCATTCATTTCTTTTACCTTTTCCTATCTAGAACATTAGGTGTAGTATGTTGTTTTGATAAATTCACCTTGTGAAAATCTATTTTGTCGTTTTGTATTTTTGATTTCTTATTATATTTTCATAGTTGAAGGCGTGAGTCAATTGGAGCTAGACAACCAAGCAAAACCTGGAAGCACCGGACGTTTGTTTCGTCCCATTGTGGGACTCCTCGGCAGTGCACATCCACGACCTCGCCTCGCGAGATTTGAACCCAGGATGTACCAGTCTGGCGCCAGAGCACTTAACCGATAGACCACTGAGCCGGCATCCGATGGTGTTTATGTCTAACTCCAATCAATCCACGAAATTGAGCAACCGTTCACCAATCGTCATCAGTGAGTTGTTATGTCACAACAGACGTGGTTTGAACTCCACTGATCACGGCTTCTCACTAGAACTCCTGGATTTACCTGGTGGTCTAGCTTCAATTGACTCACACTTTCAACTATGAAAATACTAAATCTCCACAAAACTCCTGATTCTTATTTATATCACTACTAATATCAGGTAATATATAAATATAAGAACTTTCGTCTAAATTAGAGCGAATAATTTCACAGTATTTGGGCGCCGAGTTGATGTAAGACACTGAATAGGAATAGCATATTTGTAAAATCTCAGCGATTGCCAGGTGAAACGTTGGATTTACTTCAAATTCATTCGCTGAGATTTTACAAATATATTGTGGTGCAGTCTACTTATATACATAAAAGTATTATATGGTGATGGTCAGACATAGAATGTATTTTGTCAGAAGACCGATAAGGAAAGAACTGAAATGAAGCGCAATTGGTAGGAAAATGCATGAACAATGAAATCAGAGAAGATGGATTGATATTTACTGAAAGAACAGTGAAGATTGAGACAATTGTTGGTTATTTTGCAAATTAACTGTTCATTGTATGGTTATCAGAATTTAGTGAGATAGTCTATAATTTGTGCTTTCAGTTCTTTCCTTATCGGTATAGATTGTACACTTTTCATAAATAACATAAACGTTTAATGAAGGTTAAGGAGGTATAATTTGATAGTTAAAATTTATGCCTGTTTCTTTCTAATAAACTCGATAACTTTGTTTTTGGTCGAGTTTTGTTCTCTGAGCTCCATGACCAAAACTGTACAGCTCAGAGAACAAAACTCTATCGAAATCGTCCACCTGATTTACAAATCTTAACATGGTAGAAGGCAGTTAGACACGCCTAAAATATGTCTTAACTATTTTCACCAATGAACGTTCATAGCCTTAATAATCGATTTGAATTTTGAACCTTCTATCCTATGCCTAACCTCACTGTTACTCACTTAATAGTTCAACTGCATGCAAGCAATTTTATAAAGGCACTTGTGAGCAAATATTCACAACTTATGTATTTCATTTGCTTTCAAAGGCCATATTTCACAGCCATGAAAAAATGCATTCACCTAGAAATTGAAAGATGTATATATCTCGTGGATCACAAGCAAATGCTAAGGAAGCGTAGGGAAACTTCTAAAATCCATGCCAAATTTTAAGTAATCTCAGCAAGAGTTTGTTGAGATTGTTAAATTTTATTGAAACCACGAACCAATCTATGTAAGACCATCATGGAAATCTTGAAAGCACTGGACTGAGGGACTCCTCAAACATGCACATCCACGACACCTCATATAAGAATCAGAATTAAGGCTTTTGACCTAGAGTATTTACTCTCAACCTTTAGACTACTTAGAATTCTTCATAAAATTCCTAATGTTATTTTATTCTAATGGTGTTTCATTATTTTTCTTGGTTTGATTAACCCACGATTTCACATTTTACAATTAAAAAAAAATGTAGATTAGAGTGAAATATTATTGAATAATCAATATAGGTAGTCTTATTATTATAAAAATCATTGTGTTATGCAAAATTGTTTACATGTGATTTAACTTTTATTTTACATGTAGTTCATTTAGAACAAAAAAAAAAATAGAATGTCAGTTTACCGGGAAAGTATTTATGTATTGAAATTGATTTTTGTAAGCATATCATTAATAATGAGCTATTAGAGTAAGTAATTCATGTTTGAAGTTATTTATATCATTATTAATCATTTCTATACTTATAAACACTACTATATAAGCATGGTAAGCAAAGATGGATAGTGGTTAGCAATGGAATCCAGTTTGAGGCGCGTTTCGTCTTATTTGGGACTCATCAACTGGATGTACCTGCATATATATATATATATATATATATATGTATGTATATATAGGGCATTATCATGATTATCCCACGCTTGATCATTGTAGGCGAAACTGTAAACTTATAAGTAATACAGTTTACTAAGTTATGGTAAAATCCAGAGCTAAGAATGTTTTCTTATTTTTACATAGTCAAAATATAAAAATACGGATTGACAAGAACTTATATGCCTGATTGTTAATGTATATAACTAATTATTTGAATGAATTCTATGATTTTGTATACCTTGTATGGTTTAGAAGTATTTTTCATGTCAATAATAATAACTCAGATTCAATTTCACTTATAGTAATAACTTCCAGTTTCTAGTGAAGAAGTGAAAACATAAATTGTAGCGATGACCCTTTTTTTCCCTCTTTTTACTAAACTTTATAGCAATTTTATAGCAAATCGGCCTCCTAATGGTACACGGTATTTTAATTGAAATACGATGTAGGTAGCACAATATCTTATTCGATTGATCTGGTATAATTATTAAAACAAGTTATCAATTACATGTGTATATTGTATTCACCGTTGGCGGTTCATCAAAGACATAAACATAGCCTAAATAATTGACTACTTGTAACTTTCAAGTATCATCATTTGCCTGTTAACGAATCCACCTGGAGGCTAAATTTACTTCGATTCATATTATAATTGATTTTTAATGTTATAGTTACTTGTGTGATTATTACACTTAGTATTATAAGCATTTAAATGTAAATATGAAATCTATTAAGATGTAGGTTGATGACTAGATAAAAACAACAATATTTCAGTAAGTCGAACTGTATGTTTCTTCAAGCTTGCTTTTATTTCAAACTGATGGTTTTAAGAAAGATGGTGACAGCGGCAGTACGCTATTGTTTATCGTTTATATCAAGTTTCCCTGAGATTTCAGTTAAGAAGGACATCACATTTTTTCTAAAAGAAATCTGTATATTCTCCAAAAGTTTTACATGGGAAATCTGTATGAACGAATAAAGTTGACTGAACATATATAAAATCATTAGTTTACTAAAGAATATAATACCTGAAGATACCGCTAACGACCTAAAACCTTTTGTATGTCTCGAAAAATGAGTAATGAAATATGGATATGAAACAAACTGAAACACTCAATACACACATGAATATTTCACTATGTATTACAGTATATTTACACAAATAAATGTGAATATAATGAGTGCACCGATTCTGTTTCATCTTCAATCAATTCGATCTTTTCATAGTTTTTATGATATTTTCATTGTCATATTTAATTTAACTAAATTGATAAATTGAATCGTGAATTGGTGTAGATATGCTAGACAAATCAGTAAGTACAATACATTTCATTTACAAACCGTCTAAACTAACTCAATTCGATGGTTTTTCAAGTGTTGTAAATTTTCACTCTTCATCATTTAATTGTATTAATTTGCTATAGAAAGTATAGCTAAGTTCTGATATATAAAGATCACTATGAAGGTATGCTCATTCAACATATAATATTCAGAAGGGGTTTTGTGGATATTTCAGTATTTTCAGAGTTGAAATCATTAGTCAGTTGAGGCTAGACCACCATGGAAAACCTGGAATCACTGAACGGCCGTTTCATCCTATTATGGGACTCTTCAATAATGCTATGGCGCAAGACTGGTAGGTCCTGGGTTTGAATCTCGTTAGTACAGGATCGTGGATGCTCACTGCTGAGGAGTCCCATAATAGGACGAAACGGCCATCCAGTGCTTCCGGGTTTTTGATGGTGGTCTAGCTTCAACTGACTCATGATTTCAACTATGAAAATATAATATTCACTTTAAAATCATCCGTAAATCTTACAAACTTCAAAAACACTTTCTAATAGTTTTTCTTTTGTTTCTTTAGGATTCATCTAACAAAAGATCAATAACTGATCCAGGAGATTATTTATCAAACACTGAAAAAATTAAACATACTAAGAATAAAATTGATGGAAAAACGATTACTTTTATGGATAATAAAAATCCAAGTGTCAACCTTCACTTAACTGAAGATACTCATAGTACACCTATACAAAAACAAACTAGTTATCCATTTAAAGCAAATACATTTCGTTCAGTTAAAAATAAACATAAAAATCATCATAAAACTATCAGTAAACAACAATCGCAACAACAACACCAGCATCAACAACAAAAACATTATGAAAATGAGATGAGTTTAAAACCAGAAATTAAATTAATTGATTCAAGACCAAGAACAAGATTATGTATTCAATCAGGAATAAAAACTCATGTAAGTTGATGGATTGATTGATAGAATGTTTATCAATGAAATTCTTTAATTTGTAAGGAATTTTGTTACTTTTATTAAAGAAGGGGAGGGGGTTTGTGGGGATTTTAGTAATTTTATATAGTTGAGATCATGAGTCAATTGAAGATAGACCATCATGGAAAACCTTGAAGCATTGGAAGAGAAGTTCGACAATAGGTCGTAACGGCCGTCCAGTGCTTCCAGGTTTTTCATGGTAGTCTAGCTTCAATTGACTCATGATTTCAACTGTGAAAAATACAGGAATCTCCACAAAACCCCCTTCTGATAATGACCATATGCTCACTAGTGACTGACTTCAAGATACATTTCCTGGAGTTCTAGTGAGAAGCTGTAACCAGTGGAGTTCAACCAGGTTTGTTGAGAGATACCAACTCACTGAAAACATTGGTGAATGGTTGCTCTATTTCGTAGATTGCTTGAAGTTAGACATTAACACCGTTGGATGTCGGCTGAGTAGTCTATCGGTCAAGTGCTCTGGCGCGAGACTGACAGGTTTTGGGTTTGAATCTCGTGAGGTGGGATCGTGGATGGACACTACTGAGGAGTCTCACAATTGAACGAAACGGCCGTCCAGTGCTTCCAGGTTTTTCATGGTAGTCTAGCGTCAACTGACTTATGATTTCAACGTAAATTTACCTTTATTAAAGTTTTTTAATTTGATTGTGAAAAATTATTATTTTATGAAAACTAACATTCTTTTGAAAGTATCAGTATAACATATTGGAGATTGTTGAGTTCTGATTAAGATCATGAATTAATCAATGTTAGAACACTTTTGAAAACCTGTAAGCATTGGAAAGACCGTTTCGTCCCAGTGTGGTATTCCTCAGAAGTGCATATCCATGACTCACAATCGAGGCTCAAACCAAGGAACTTCAGTCTTGCTCACGAACGCTCAAACTCTAGACCACTGAGTTGGCCGGCATCCAACGATGTTAATGTCTAACTTCAATCGATCCATGAGCTTGCACAACCATATTAGGATAAAATGTTCGTCTAATGCTTCCAAGTTTTAAATGGTGGTCTAGCTTAGATCAACTCATGAATTCATCCATTAAAATTACTACAATCTCTATAATCCCCCCCTTTCTGATAATAATCATTTATTTCTGCTTAATATATTAAATTTATTGATTATATCTTTTATTAATTATAAAGTATGTTAACTTCAAAAAACAATTCACTATGTGAGAGATATATATAGTGATTAATCTATCTGTCATATTATTTGTTAAGAAAAAATCATAAAAGTAAACAAACAATGAAAGGGGGGTAAGGTTTAAAAAAATCTAAAAAATCATTAGAATTGTTCAGATTACATTGATTTATTTATCGAAAAAAACATTTATATCTAAAGAGTTACTCCACAACAACAACAACAACAACAAACACATACCTTTACTGTCAATTTATTTTCTTCAATTACATGTACACACAAAACAAACATTCACAATAATGTAATTACATGCCCAATATATATTTACCATATCTACATTCCTATAGACTATCCTTTTATAATTTATTTCAAACCATTTATCTTATTCAATTTATTTATTGGATGCTTGTTATTTTTTCGGGGGGGGGGTTATTTATTTATTATTTCATAGTTACTAAGTCAAATTAAAGAAAGTGAATTAATAGAGAAATAATTTCCTTCAATATATTATTATTATTATTATTATTAGTTTGAATAGTTCTGTGTCAATCCATAATGACTGATGTATCATAATAATTGTTTTTTTCTTCAGTGTTTCTAACTGTTTTTCCTAAGTTTGACCAATATTTAGATTACTATATAACCCATTATCATTTTTGAACATATATATATATATATATATATATATATATATATATATATATATATACAAAAGGGGTTTTGTGGAGATTTCAGTATTTTTCAAAGTTGAAATCATGAGTCAAGTGAAGCTAGACCACCATGGAAAACCTGGAAGCACTGGATGGCCGTCTCGTTCTGGAGTTCTAGTGGGAAGCAGTGACCAGTGGAGTTCAACCAAGTCTGTTGTGATATAACAAATCACTGAACACAATTGGTGAACAGTTGCTCAAAATTCCTGGTTCGGTTGATATTAGACATTAACACCGTTGAATACCAGCCAACTCAGTGGTCTATCGGGTTAGTGCTCTGGCTTGAGACTGGTAGGTCCTGGGTTCGTATCTTTTTGGTTTGAGATCATGGATACGCACAGCTGAGGAGTCCCATAATAGGTAGAAACGGCCATCCAGTGCTTCTAGGTTTTCCCTGGTTGTCTGTCTTCAATTGACTTATGATTTAAACCTTGAAATATATATATATGTATATATATATATATATTTCCGTGTTAGCTTACTTACTTACTTACGTCTGTTACCCGTCGTGGAGGAGCATAGGCTGCGCACCAGCATTCTCCATTGAACACTGTCCTGGGCAATTCTTTCCAGTTGTTATTCATCCTTTTCATATTTCCTCTTATTTTTTATTCAATCTACTAGGTTTATATTAATTTTAAGGTTCTTAACGTATTATACTTTCAAACTAGTATGGGTTATGTTAGACGATTTCCATGTTTTTTTTTGTGGTTCCATTTGTAAAAGTTTTCATCGATTACAAGTTTATTAGTAAGTATTATCAGAGAAGCAGTAACCAGTGGAGTTCAACCACATCTGTTTTGAGATATCAACTCACTGAAGACAATTGGTGAACGGTTGCTCAAGCTACATTCTTTTCTTCTTCTCAAATGTTAAAATTTATTTAAATCACTCTATCCATTATGATGTTGTTACTATAAATGACTTAAGTTAGATTATTTCATCAATAAAATAAACTGAAAGTATAATTTATGTTAAGATGGATAATGGCTAGCATTGGAATCCAGGGCGCGCGCCACTTCGTCCCATTTGGGACTCGTCAGCTGGATGTACCTGCAGTTGATGTTCAATCTGGGGCTCGAACCCAGTAACTTTCGCTTCAAACGCCATCGCGTTATCCATTCGACCACTGAATCCTGATAGCCACTTGCTTGTACAATGGGGTGAAGTTTAAATTCATTTAGTATTATCTGTTTGAGTCTTCCCATTGATGTTTATTTATGTTATTTAACTTAGAAACTATATTTGTTCGTTTAGTTCTAAAGTAATCCCTTCTCTTACATATTACTCTTTTCTTTTTTTTTTTAGACAAAAACAATGACACTACAAAAAAATTTAATCACTGATGATAGTTTAATTAGTGATGATTTAAATATGACCGGTTTTATTTCATTACCTAATAAAAACATATCAACAAGGAAAGTAACCAGTAAATTACCAACATCACCATCAATGCCATTACCAAAAGTAATCTCTACTGATATATATAATGTTAATTTATCTGAAATAGATCATTATAGTGAACCATATAATAGTAGTAGTACATGTGAATCATTAATTGAATATAAACAAACAGATAAATTAATAATGGATCATCAAAATGATCCTGATTTAACTATGAAACTTGATAGAATTGCTTGTGAAATTGGATTATTACATGATCAAAGAAGAATAAGACGTGAAAGTTCATTATCTTTGCAATATGATATTGATGGTAAGTTAAATATTCACTTATTTGCTTCTTGAATATATTTAAAGATGTTTTTATTAATTTGTTGATCTTATTTAAACAACCAAGAAGTACTGGATAGCTATGTCATCCTAAAGTGGGCGTCCAATGATCTCACTTAAGATCTTAATGAGAAACATTGGGTCTCGTGTAGGAGATTTGACGTTTAAACTACTGGATCATTATCCAATGACTTACATTTCTTGCTTTAATCAGTTCTTGATCTTGTCTGAATATCGTTCATCGATCAAATCTCCCCGTGAAATTGTTATTTGAACCTATTTTAACCTACTTATTTGATTTTTATGGAGATTTTCTATAAGTTGAAGATGATTTTCATGATAAATTGAAATCAGTCAAACAAAAAAACTGTTGAAGACCAAGAATTATTTGAAATCTGTTACATTCTAGTTTAGAACTCATCCCATAATTAATCGAGAATAATTAAACCTTCAGGTCATTCAGTAATCATAATATCATTCATCTAACACTCTTTTAACTTTGAAAATTATTAGTATGTTTCATTTGGATTGTTTTACCTGGTGGATTGAAGAGTTCTGATTTGTTATGAGGAAGAAGTATTTTGACAATAAATACCATATGTTCTCGCTTCCTATGTATACATGTTTGCTTTATTGAAATAACTTTTAATTAGTTTTTATTTATTTATATTCAGTTGAACACATAAATATTGGTACAAAGGGGCACCAGATATATATGCGCCACACAAAAATTTGTCATTTCATTTAATTGTGTCAGGGCTATGATACTGACAGGGTGCCCAGACCGAAGCAGGTGGTTTTCTTAAAGGGCCATAGCCGGAACCTTCGACCTGAGGGTTTGATCCACAAGACAGTGGAACATCGTGAGGAGATGCAGTCCTATTTTGGCCAGTGACCAACGATTGATTCATACGCCATTTGTTCCCTCAGGATACTGAAGCCCACGTGCACCATTGGTTTGAAATCAGGGTTTTCCAACTCCCTTAGGTGAACTTTCTGTATCCACAAACCCAATTAAGGCGTTAGGCATTCCCTTTTCGTCCTCTCAATTTCGTTAACAACAGTAATGTCACGAGAAGGCTGTGAGTAGGACTTCCCTGTCAGAGACTGTATACGCGTGACCGTGTAAGAGCATTTTGAGAAAGAGGGCGGGTCCTCCCCACTTTTGGTTGATTCAGGTCATTTGGGGGCTATGATAGCTATTGTCAGTAGATGTACTTGAATTTCTTGTGTATCATCTTTGACTTTACTTCATTTTAATTAATATTTTTGAATCACCAAGTGTCAACTTCTTAAATTATTTTATAAGTTGTATAAAAAGGTGTGGATTTTATGTGTAAAAATAGTGTCATAATAGAAATCAGTAACTAGGTGTTTTTTTTATATAGTTGAGACCATGAGTCAATTGAAGCTAGATCACTATGGAAAACCTGGAAGCACTCGACGGCCGTTTTGTCCTATTGTGGGACTCCTCAGCAGTGCGCATCCATGATCTCACCTCACGAGATCCGAACCCAGGACCTACCAGTCTCGCGCCAGAGCACTTAACCGGTAGACCACCGAGTCGGCCGGCATCCAATGGTGTTAAAGTCTAACTTCAATCAATCCACGAAATCTGAGCAACCGTTCACCAATTGTCTTCAGTGAGTTGATTTCTTCCAACAGACCTGGTTGAACTCCAGTGGTTACTGCTTCTCACTAGAACTCATTAGAACTCCAGGAAATACCTTATGGAGTTAATCACTAGTGAGCGTACGATCATTATCAGAAGAGAGTTTTGTGGAGATTTTAGTAATTTTCTATAGTTGAGATCATGAATCAATTGAAACTAGATCACCATGGAAAACCTGGTGTTTTTTAGTTACAATTCATTAGATTTTTGAGTAAAATGATAATAAATAATGAAATGATTGTCTTTCATTTTTCTAATAAAATTTCATAATATCATAGTAGAAATATATATGGATCAAAATACTCTGTTTGAATAATCACTTGAACTTATAACAATAGACAATGATCCGAAAAATTTTTATCCTTCGCCTGTAGCTCCTCTGGGGGCTATTGCCTGTCTCAAGCCCGGATAAAGGAGTAGGGTTGGGCATGGGGTTAGCGACCCCATCCCGTAGAAAACCAACTCGCTTAAAAAACGCTATCCTTCGTTCATATTAAACTTATTTTAAAATCAGTGCCAACAATTTTCTCTTTATATGATTTCATAGGTTTAATGTCAATAAATAGTCCATGTTCAGAATCAAATCTACCTAAAGCTGATTTGGATCAACTTTTAACACTGGAAATATCAACCACTCTTTCTAATCCAGCTTATGTTAGTTCATCTAAAAATGAAACAACAACTGTTCAAACAATTTCAACATCTTTAAATAATACAAAAATTGCCGACTCAAGACATAGAACTCATTTATCTCGAGTTGATTCATCTTTAACTGATGCTAATAAACTCAAATCTCAAAGTCGACCAAATAGTACAGGCAGTCGAATTATTAAAGAGTTTCTACGACATATATCACCAAAATTAGGACGTAGTTTATCAAGAATTTCTAGTAGAAAAAAGTCTGATAATCAAAAATCAAACCAAGATAATCATGAAACAAATTTTGAAAGTCCTCAGTCTACCTCTACTTCATTTGAACGTTGTAAATCAGAACGTATCTATCCAAAAAAATCACTTCTTCGATTCATTCCACGTTGTTCAAGTCGTTCAAAAGAACGTAAAAGGAAGCAGATCTCAACTACAGAAGGTAATGTGTTATTAATAAAATTTATAAAATCCAATATTTTGTATATAATAATTTGGATGATGTTAAGACTTCGTTTAATGTTACAAGGTTAGGTGTATGTTTATGCTAATTCATTAAATTGTGAGAGTGATTGTAACTTTGGTATTAGGAACTCTGTGTGAAAATTAATGCTGGTGTGCAGATACAGTTAATTGAGCCTTATAAATAACGGAACGCATGTTCAGAAACTCACTGCTGACGACAGTTTGTCTACTCAAAAATGATTTACAGTTTTATCGGTTGAGTAACTTCATTAATCTAATTGTATTGTACGATTTAGTTTGATTTCAATCAACCTAAATTATTTTATATTTCTAGTATACCTCACAAGTTATCTTAATTTTCTTTATATTGATGGCTATCTAATCAGAATATCCCTAGAGTGAAACTGCAAAAAAGTTTTGATATATAACTGATATGAAATTCCTTTTTAAGTTCATTTACATAACTGACATTATCTCACTTGATAACAGTTCTTAGTGAAATAAGCACTGATTTTCAAAATGAAAGTAACACAGAATAGTTTTGAAGGTGTTTTTTACTGTAGACAAAAAACCTTAGTTGTACCCATAAAAAGAGTCTCAGTAAGTCTCGGTTATATTTTTTTGTAAGAGTGTGAAGTCCGTCATACTTGTAAAGATTTAATGCAAGATTTTGAAAAGTTTACTAATCTTTCTTGTGACATAAGTTATTGTTCGATGCGTGTTTAGTTAGAGTAAGAACATGAATGGCACCTGGAAATAAGTCTTAATATATCAGGGGCCAATACGTATTGATAGAGACCCTAGTTGAACAAAATATATAAAGGATGTGGATTGTTTTTCTTTGCTTTCAACTACAAATTTACGTATGTCACCGTTCTGGAATTAATCACAAATCATGCTAACTAATATATTTATGCAACCAACCTTTCTGAATGGCATATCCTTCTAGACAATGTTACTAAGCGCACCTTAAGCTATGATATTATATATCAGTACATTTGGGCTTCAACCCAAATTTATTTCAAAACTTGGTCTTAGATGAATAGATGAAAAGCTAATTGTTAAGAAGCTCCTAAACAGTTTGTGAAAAGCCTTATTAAATGTATGCCTACAACTTTATTGACAAACCTTAAATTGTTTTAATGTCCATCAGCAAAGTATAATTCCTTTTCATCTTGTTAACAAACTCGACTGTCAACTATATGCATACTATCATAATTAACAACTACATTTTCATTTGTACATTTTCTTTGTATTCATGGCGACCTAATCAGAATATCCCTAGAGTGAAACTGTAAAAAAGTTTTGATATATAAGTGATATGAAATTCCTTTTTAAGTTAGTTTACATAACGTAAAGGGAGCATTAACACAACTGTTTCGTCATATGATAAGACTTCATTGTAGTAAATATATTTAAACATCGTCGGGAAAAACCTTTAATTCACAGTTCAACAAACCTTCTATCATAATACCAAAACTTATTTTGTTGCATTCGAATACTGAAGTTTTTATTCATCATTCCTAATTGATCTTGATGATATTAACCTCCCCCCCCCAAAAAAAAGAAATTATACAACTGGTATGCTACATAGTTGGTAAGACGAAGACAGAATAGTGAAAATTTAAATACCAAAATAGACATATACAAGTAACATATTGTAATAAATACCAGTTAAATAACTAGGGTGAATTCTGTTAAAAAAAGTCGTAACATTGCCATACTATGTTATTTCAATGGATTACAACTACTATGTAGTTAGAAAATGTAAACAAAACTCAATGAAGAAGTCTTCCTCCTTCCAACATTAGTGTTTTGAAGCAGTATCATTTCAGATAGTTATAACGTCTACTGAAATAACGGAAAATGAAATTCATATGTTATTATGAACAACAATTAAAGTTTTAATAGCTGAAAGTCTATCTAAGCCAGACGACTAGTGAAAACCTGGAGGCAGTGGGCGGTCGTTTCGTTCTAGCATGGGGCTCCTCAACGGTGTTCATCACCCCCCTGATGAGGGATTCGAAACCACGACTTTCAGTCTCGCGCGCGTACGCCTAGTCTCTAGACCACTGAGGCTACTAATGTTACTAAGAATTAATGGTTTTTTAATACGAAAGATATTTAAAGAAAATAGACAATCAAATACTAGCTTGTTAAAATAATATGTTGAAAAACACTAGGTTACTAAGGTGACTTGTTTAATAAGGTTGAACGAATTGAGTGTAAACAAAAGTGTGAGTATAATATGGGAAGATTAAAATACAAAACAACTTTTGGGTGGATTTTCATTTTAAGTTAACTAACTTCCTTTCTAAATAGAGACTTCAAAGTTTAAAATATGAACTGAAGAGTCTTTAAAAGTTTGAAGGGACCTATTCTTCATGAAATTTGTATTCATTTCATAGTTCAGTTGCTTACTTTATCCATTGAGTAACATGAAACGATTGAAGGTTTCAAAATGAAGCTATGTTATATCTTCAATTCCACAGAAATAAATGGGTATTTGTTTAGAATTGGTTTTAAAATGCCAGCTCCAAGTACGTTCAGTCTAACTTATTTAGTAGAAAGTGATAAACAGACAGTTCTCAAAATGATTATTAACACATAATAGTTTATTCTTCATGCATATTCAAAGCCTTAAAGCATAAGGTGAGAAGTTTTTGAACCTCATTAATACAAAAAAAACAAAAAAATGTAAACTAAATGTTTTACAACTAATATATTTCCAGGTATTAACAGCAAATTGTTCTGTTAAAGTCTCAGCCTTATGTTCTGGATATTCATTTTCAGTAAATCCTATTGTTTTATAAATTACCACATTACTAAACTTTTAGATAATTATCAGAAGGGGTTTTTGTGGAGATTTAGTATTTTCATAGTTGAAAACGTGAGTCAATTGAAGCTAGACCGCCATCGGTTAAGTGCTCTGGAGCGAGTCTGGTAGGTCCTGGGTTCGAATCTTGCCAGACGAGGTCAAGGATGCGCACTGCTGAAGAGTCCCACAATAGGACGAAACGGTCATCCAGTGCTTCCAGGTTTTCCATGGTGGTCTAGCTTTAATTGAATCACGTTTTAAATAATTATTTTAAAATTAATCATTATTGTTCCAATCTCTTTTAGGTAACTCACAAATAATCACTAATGTTGACTTATAACCTATTTAGTTTTCCAGGTATTGAAATAAAATATCCTCTCATTTAATGTTGAACTCACTGTTACTTTTAATTGCTGAATGAATGAGTTCTGTAAACTGTTCAGTTTCTAAATGAATGAATAAATTTGTGATATTACCATCTTGTGTACAATCATATCTGTGAAATTTCATTGTAAATCCCTATAAAACTGAAACTTTTTCAAAAAACTGTTCAATCTACTTGTTTATGACAATGGTAATAGCATTTTAAACGTCCGATTTGTATCACTAATGAGGTTATTTAGCAAAATCTGTTGGTTTGCTGGACATTTGGAAACGTTTTTGTAAGGATTAACGTTAGTGACCTGTGAGGTTAACTTCCACCAACGACGGTGGCTTGCACACGTAACTTCTTCAGGTATCAATGTTGTTTAGTATGTAAGTAGGCTAGGAAGTGGCGTAGACCCAAGAGAATAATGTAATTAACCAGTGGATAGGTTCGTTTACTGTCAGCAGAAACCAACTAGGTTGGCAAATATACCCTTGTTGTGATCCCCGAAATGAAGATGTTCAGTTGTCAAAGACTTTATGTGATACTGTTATAAGTTGGTTTTAGCCATGCAACTCCACATATTCTTTAACTTTAACCAACATTGTAAAGTAGTATTACCCTAAAAACGTATAGTTTCTGACTTTAATTAGTTCCTTATAATCACTTTTACTCGTTTTTTTCATATTAATTTTTTTCGGTCATCGGTAGTATTACACTGATTGTGTTTTACCGACATTTCGTAATAAGTCAGTCGCAAGTTTGAAGGTGTCTGTCATTTTACGGTAGCTCATACGGTGGAAAGATAGTTTCTGAGCTATTTAAAACGAATTAGGGTTAGGAGAAGTCTTCAAAACATGGGAGGATCACTATAGAGCTTAATAGACAACTACCCATCACATACAATCTTTTTGTAAGAAACATTTCATGTGTTAGCTCTGCGATTTAAAAGTCTTACCATAGGTAACTAAAATTTGTAGAGTAAGATGAGGTAGGATATTTTTAGGGTTGATAATTTAACTTCATTCTTGCTTTCTAGAAAAGTAGCATTACTGTTGTTGCTGGTTGTATGGAGGAAACAACTCACAGATGTCATACCCTTGTATATTTATCAGTATAGCTTCGTCCTCCGATCTTAAATTGGAGCTTGGTTCCCTACTATTCTTGTCTGGTACGGTAGAGTCTAAAAGATTAAATTTTCCAGATAATACAGCTCAGTGGAGTCATCACTATGTTATGGTAGTGGCTACGGTCCAACTTGAACTGACCTATTACTGTATCTCTTTTCTATCTCTATTTGTTTAAGTTTCAATAACCATTATAATACAATGAAAGAATTATTCATTCATTATTCTGAATTATTCATCTACTCTAAATCAATCATGAATAATAAGTAACCTGTTTACATATTTAATTTGATAAATATTTACAACAAATTGTTCACTAGTTATTCTTAGTCTGAAACTAATTATACATGCTCTTTCTTGCAATAAACAAAAGAGAGGTAAATGTACACTTCAAAATGTTTCATTTATCAAAACAACTTCTCAAATGAATTTGTTTACATACTTTTTATTGATCGAAGAAACAAAAAGCAAAAAACCCTTTCAACTAGCTCTAAAATAAAGGTAGACAATTGTTTGGTATTTTCTATTATGGGACTCCTCAGCGGTGCGCAGTCATGAGATAGGAACTCACTGAAGACAATTGGTGAATGGTTGCTCAACTTCATGAATCAATTGAAGTTAGACATTAACACCGTCGGATGCCAGCTCAGTGGTCTATCGGTTAA